TGGAGAAGAGGCTGTTATCTATGAAAGAAATTTACAACCAGTATATTCAGTTTATGAAAGAGTACTTTTCACTAGAACACGTAGAATTAGTGCCAGACACAGATTATGAATTAGAGAATAAACACTATTATATCCCACATCACTTCGTGTTGAAGGACTCTAGCTTAACAACAAAATTGAAAGTTGTTTTTCGATGCGAGCGCTAAAACAACCACAGGTGTTTCTTTAAATGATACACTAATGATAGGCCCAAAAATACAAGATGACTTTAATTTGTATTTTACTAAGATTTAGACTTCATAACATTGCAATAACCGCTGATATTAAAATGATGTACAGACAGATAAAGGTTCATGAAAAAGATAGAGATTTTCAGAGAATATTATGGAGAAGATAGCCCGTATAAGCAAATACAAGTTTGTCGTTTGAAAACAGTTACATATGGAACTGCAGCTGCTCCATATCTTGCAACCAAAGTTTTTGAGTCAGTTAGCGATTGATGAAGGATTGAACTTTCCAAAGGCAAAGAATATAGTTTTAAGAGATTTTTATGTTGATGATATGTTAACTGGTGTAAAAGATAGTTCGGAAGGTATTGCATTGATAGACGAATTGCAACATCTGCTAAAAAGTGGTGACTTTGAGCTTCACAAATGGTCGACAAGTGAACCGTCATTGTTAAAAACCTCTGGCTTAACAAACACAGATAGTGACAATATTCATCGTGTAATAGAAGACAAACCATTGAAAGTTCTGGGATTGGAATGGCATCCGGACAATGATGAATTCAAATGTAATGTCGGTGTAATAGAGTATCAAAGTGTTCCGACTAAAAGATTATTTTGTCATTATTATTTTGTCATTCGTAGCAAAACTATTCGATCCATTGGGGTGGATAGCTCCATTTGTAATTTTCGCTAAAATGATCCTTCAGCAATTGTGGAAATTACAGTTATCATGGGATGATCCTGTAACAGAAGAGATTGATCGAAATTGGAGAAATCTATGTAGAGAAATTAAACTTTTGAATTCTATAAATATACCTAGGAAAATTCTGCTACCTGACTATTTTCGATGTGAACTTCACGGATTTTGTGATGCGTCTGAAAGAGGTTATGCAGCAGTTATTTATATCAAAACTTGCAATAACTCTGACATTAATGTTAAACTCGTAACAGCTAAAACTCGTGTAGCACCATTAAAATCTATTACGATTCCAAGACTGGAATTATGTGCAGCAGTGTTATTGGCACGCTTGATTCAGTCTGTAAAAGCTGCATTAGTTATAAATTTTGATTTAGTGCAAGCTTGGAGTGATTCACAAATCGTGTTGTCATGGCTAAGGTCAGATCCTAAAAAATGGCAAGTATTCGTATCCAATAGAGTTTCTGAAATACAATCCATCTTACCACCTGAGAACTGGAGTCATGTTGATGGAAAGGAAAATCCAGCTGATTGTGCTTCACGTGGATTATTTCCTGCAGAACTATTATCTCATCAATTGTGGTGGAATGGTCCTTCTTGGTTAAAGTGCAGTGAGATTGCCTTGTCTAAAAATATTCTTATAGATGAAGAGGCATTACCAGATGCACGTAAAACAGTCTCATTTGTAGTTTCTGAACCTGTACAGGAACTTGCTATTATATCAAATATATCTTCATTTCCAAAGTTACAACGCATATTTGCTTGGATATTAAGATTCATATCGAATTCTAAAGTAGCATATCTAGAAAGAAATACGTCTTTTTTATTTAGTAATGAAATTCGAGCTGCAACTTTCTGTATTGTCCGAATAATACAGCGATTTCACTTTTTTAAAGAAATTCAATGTTTGGAGTTGGGAAAGGACTTACCTACAAACAGCAACCTCCTTAGCTTGTGTCCAATTTTAGATGACAACAAAGTGTTACGTGTAGGAGGAAGACTGAAAAATGCGCAACTGTCAGAAAATGAAAAACATCCAATCTTATTACCTTCAAAACACAATCTGACAGAAATCATAATTAGACACTTTCATGTCAAATATCTGCATGCAGCACCGGAACTTCTTCTATCTTTAATTAGACAGCAATTTTGGATCATAGCTGCTAGATCTGCTATCCGAAAAGTAGTAAAATCTTGTATCACGTGTTGCAAACTTAGAGCTAAAACTGCAAGTCAAATAATGGCTGATCTACCGGAATCTAGAGTAACACAATCGCGACCATTTCATCGAACTGGAATAGATTTTTCTGGACCGTTCATGATTAAACATCGTGCAGGACGTGGACAAAAATCATTTAAATATTACGTATGCTTATTTGTGTGTTTTGTAATCAAGGCAGTACATCTTGAAGTGGTAGAAGATTTGTCAACAAAGGCATTTTTTTAAGTGCATTGAAACGATTTATTGCAAGAAGAGGGAAACCATTTGAGATTTATAGTGACTGCGGTACTAACTTTAAAGGTGCAGACAAAGAAATCAGAAAATGTTTTTTGCAATGTAAGCAAAATCAAGAAATTCACAAATTTTTGTCTTTAGAGGAAATAAAATGGATATTCAACCCGCCATCATCTCCCCATTTTGGTGGACTATGGGAATCGGCAGTAAAGTCAATGAAATTACATCTAAAAAGGACTGTTGGTGATACTGTGCTGACCTATCCGGAATTTCAGACCTTGATAGCGCAGGTTGAGGCTTGTCTCAACTCTAGGCCATTGTGTCCAACATCGGCTGATCCAAATGATTTAACTGCATTAACACCTGGTCATTTCCTAATAGGAACGTCTTTAACTGCCATACCTGAACCAGACCTAAATTATAGTTCCTTCAATCACATTGACAGATGGCATGTGAGACAGTTTATTTTTCAGCACTTCTGGAAAAGATGGAGTCGAGAATACCTGTCTCAGCTTCAACAAAGACCTAAATGGCAAAAAAGTCAAAACAATTTAGAAGTCAATGACTTAGTCCTCATCAAAGAAGACAACCTTCCGCCTCTTAAATGGAGGTTAGGGAGAATAATTGCTGTTCATCCGGGCTCAGATCAAAGAGTCAGAGTTGCTAGTATTAAAACTGGTCATGGTGTCATAAAACGACCAGTCGTGAAATTGTGTCCTCTTCCTATTCAAACTAAAAAACTATGAACTGCTTCGCATATAATATTTTGTATTATTTTTCTTATGTTTATCTTTATTACAGACTAAGAAGTTTCAAAATGCTCCAACTGTTGAAATCCCCTGGGATTTCAACGAGGGCCAGGATGTTTATGTGAGTATCGTTTGCTTCATTTTATTGTTGCAAACAGCGTAAATTCCTTTTGCTTTTCTTTCTTTAGTTTTGAACTTTATGTGTGGCAACAAGATAATTGATTGATAGAATTGTGTTTGTGACAGCCATGTAGAATGGCTCGCTTATTTTGTATCAATTATTTTGCATCGCTGACAAGTGTAATTTAATAAAAGTGTAGGAATACAGTCCATTTGTTGATTGATTATAGTTTGTGAAACATATTAAGTTTAAGAACATAAAGTAAACAAATAAATATTAAGCTTTTTTTTTTTTTTTTTTTTTTTTTTTTTTTTAAATTTTGATACCCTTTAGATCATAATTGCTCTTATTTCATAAATTACGGTTTCATATTTTTATTGTATAATTTCTGCATGCCATCTTACCAGATTTAAATTGATGATCTATAATCCGGAAAAAACCCTAATCCGGAATCGCCGAAGTCCCGACGAGTCTGGATTAAAGACTTTGTACTGTATTAGCATTAAATTCCCCCAGCAAGATCCAACTGTTTGAATTTTAGTACCATCTGCAAAGTTTTTTTGGTGGTTATAATTCGATGATAAGGTAGCAAAAATGGTAGATCACATACTACATCAGTACCGAATATTAGGCAGATTTTTTTTTTTTTATTTTGAAATGCCACACAACCCAACAGTGTCTTGCTTTGGTATGCTATCAGCACCAATAACCTCTCATCTTTAGTATGCATTATGGACAAAGTAATGGCACTACTGCTATGTTGGTGCTGCAGCCAGTGGCACTATCAGATTTGCACTGTGTCCCAAACATAATTTCTCAGCAGCTTAACAACTACCTATGTATGGTATAAATCAATGTACATGTTTAGTAACATTATAAGAGTTTTTCCCCTTTACTTATTGCATATGTTCATAATGTTATCAGAAGCAAATCTGGCTAGCAATTGTGAGGCCCAATATTTGAATCCAGGAAAGGATATTGCAAATTTTTCAAGTTTTCGGCTCTAAAAAAAGTTATTGACTTTACGAATTGTACAGATGCTTCGTTGACCAGCCTGATGTCTTGATCTATTACCAATTGAGAATCCATAGAACATCACTACACATTAGTTGAACATTCTCCCATTTCAATGAAACACAGATGAGCTGTGAACTCAGATTACTATACATAATCCACCATATTCAGTATGGTAAGATATTGTCCAAAATGAAGATCCCATTTTTAGTGATCATTCTTTACTCTCGGCTACTGGAACTTTATTACGTGAGAATTATACCTTTTGTTCAGCACTCTTGTCTCTCTACGAGTGTGGTTTAGTCAGAATCTGAACATATCTGCGAAAAATGTCACATAAGAAATAGCTAGAAATTTTCTCAGTCAAGTACAGTGGTTCAATGTCGCTGAGCCTGAAAAATTACTGACTGCCAACTGATATGATGACATTTCACAAATATAATATTTTCTCAGAAAATAAAGAATAGATTACAGAAAGTATTATAGCTGAATATCTAAATTAGGCTACAGTAAAAGATTGTCACAAAGTAAGAAAACTGTGAAATATGTAGTAATTATCAATAACCAGAGAATTTAGGAATGAAAATGGGTATATATACAAAGTGGGTGGTGAAGAATGAGTAGATCAAGACACTGAAATCAAGTAATTACTATTAGAAGAAGCAACATACTTTGCTCTGCTAATTAATGATGTAAAGAAATAAATGACACATTTAGATTAAAGATAAATTCATACCTGTTGGCAGAATAATACCCATCTTTCATCATGCCAGCTATTCTTCTTTCACCAGTACGTGTATAATCACCCTGCAAAAAAATAAAAGCTTAAATGTAAAAGTATGCTATCAGCCACCAAAAAAATAAATAAAATAATAAATTATTTAAATTAAAAACTGAAACAGCACTTAGGAATAGAAATGTCCAAGACTGGTTAAATAAGTAGTGTAATTCATATCTGATAAGCCAGCAATGTAGTAGCTCATTTAAAAAAATTACCAGAATAAATGCTGAACTTTACTAAATATTTAAAAATGCATGAAAATTATAAAAAACAAAAACTTGGAAAGCTATATAATCTTTTAACTTTTTAAAACAGCTAACTTGATTTCAAAATTTATTTTGATCTAATTTTATTACATTTTATTTATGAAACTTGATTTTCTTGAAAATATACAGGTAGATAGTTTTCACAAAATATTCTCAGTAAGAAAGAATAACCACAGCATTTTAATCAGTATGCATATTATTTTTAAATAAAACTTCATATGTTAGAATTGATTTGCAGAATTTTGCTTGGATACTTCTCCAATTTATAATGCTCATGTTTTGATAAATTAACTGAGATTAACGAGGACAGATTAAAAGTACTAATTGAATTTTATTGTCCCATAAATGTACGAGAGCTTGCCTAGAGCCTAAATTCATTCAAAACAATCACTGATGAGAATTTAAAAAAGCTTAGTAATGAAGGAAAAAAAAAAACCTGAAATTTTAATTTCACACGAGCTTAAAAAAAAACCACTTAACACAATATATTTTTCATATGTGACTAGAATTTTAAACTTAATCAAAACAATTGATAGCTGCTAACTGAAAACAGATTGTTTACAATAACAATGAATGCAAATGATCATGGTCTAAGTATTTATGTTAGCTCAAACATTGAAAGCTGATATTTATCAAAAAAAGATCATGTTATTGGTTTGGTTGATTTATAAGGATGTTCTCTGAGATGAATCAGTTCCAAAGTATGCTATCAGCCACCAAAAAAATAAATAAAATAAAAAATTATTTAAATTAAAAACTGAAACAGCACTTAGGAATAGAAATGTCCAAGACTGGTTAAATAAGTAGTGTAATTCATAAAGGTGTTTCATCATAACAATGCCAAAGCACACTTTTAGTCATTCCTCAGAAACTACTGGAGCAGAGTTGAAATGTGCTATACATCCACCACACAGCTTGGCGCTGCACCATCAGACTATCATTTGTTTCATGGTTTACAAAATTACTTCTCATCATTAAAATCACTATTTCAAACTGTTAGGTAGAGGTGAGTGAATTTTTTTCCCTATGCGTTTACTTACTGATTATAGGGAGCACAGCAGTCGCTTTTGAAGACACATCCTTCATGCAAGTATGCTCAGTGACTAAGGGAGGCTGCTGTGTGATGTATTATGTAATTGCTGTATATGATCTACTTATCTGTATTACGTCCAAATAAAGTGTGTTGTCCCAGAGCTTAAGGATCCTTTACCATATGTACGAGCCTCTGAACAACAAAATGGTATCAGAGCATAATTATGCCAAGAAGTATTGGATGTAAAGAAAAATGCAAGGGATTCTAAGTGGAAATTGAAACTGTTCTTAGTGAAAGGCAAAAATGGTACTAATGGAATTATCAAAAATGGAACTAACTGGGGTAACTATTTCGTTTAGTCATTAAAAATTAAAGCTGCCTTATCCTAAAAAAGACTTGACTCAGTTATTTCAGAACTAAAACCAGAAAACTTAAAATAAGAAGGATGAACAGCTGTGAAATGAACAGAATACTGACACATAAAAGCATATACAGTCAAAAGCCTTTAATCCGGACTCGTCGGGACTTCGGCGATTCCGGATTATCGATTTTTCCGGATTATAGATCATCAGTTTAAATCTGGTAAGATGGCATGCAGAAATTATAAAACTAAAAATATGAAACCGAATTTATAAAATAATGAGCAATTATGATCTAAAGGGTATCCAAATTTACCAAAAAAGAAGCCTAATATTTATTTGTTTACTTTATTAAACATTTCTTTTAACGCGCGGATGCGTAAAGCATACTTAGAAAATTGCAACCAGAAAACTATGTGATTTGTATTCGTGATATTTATAATGACGAGGAATTTGATTTAAATCATATCAAAGACGGAGTACATCGAAATTAAATACTACATTTAGTAAGGAATTATAAGCCAACTAAAATAAAAACATCTGCCCTGAAGATAACGATAGTGTTGACAGATCAACTTCCAGTTCATTGCGCGCCGCGACGTGCCCCCCCCCCGCGCAGAGCAGCGTGAAATTGATAAACAGATTTCGGAACGGTTAGATAAACAAAGGATATGCTTTTATTCATTTTTTGTAGCAATTCGTTTTTTGTTTGATGGACATCGAAACATACTTTCGTTTTCTAGATCCTTTGGGAGCTCCAGCATCGGAAATTCTATTTGACATAATCGAAAGTTCAAGCTTACTTTTAGAAAATTGCTCTTACAGTCTGCAAAAAATAATAAGCCGGATCCAATTTAAAGATTAAGGAACAACGCAATTATCAACATTAACTGAAATAGATAATTAGATAATTTTAGCTTATACCGTCCGTCATACATTAAACGCGCACGCGAAAACGTATTCTGCACTTGCGCAGATGCATATGCGCAGTCGTAAATGTCTTGCGCACACGAGTAAAACGCCTATGCGCATGCGTCAATGCGGCGCATGCGCAGAAAGATTTTAGCTTTGAGGTCCGGATTATAGATCATTCCGGATTACGGGTGTCCGAATTAACGACTTTTGACTGTATAAAACTTTCACTATCAGATCAACAGGTGCTTCAATTTGCCACAAAAGAGAATGCAAAAGTACTTTGGAAGAAAATAAAATCAAATTTTATTGGACAAGCCGGACAGAAAAATAAATGCCAGTAATGAAATAAAAAAGTTGTAAATGAAGTTGCATGAGTTGGCTACTGATTATATCACAAGAGCAAGAGGAATAGCAACTAAGTTTCAATCGCTAAAACTAGAAATATCTCCTCGGGAATTGGTGTTTTACACAGTCCGTGGAAAATTCTCTCTAATCAGGGAAATTTTTAAAACTCAACGTGGAAAAACAGTTGATGAAGTACTGAAAATACATCCAACATACAGTTTGCTGAATGGCAGACGACCTGATGGGATCAATGCTGAGGCGTTTGTATCTAAGAGAAATAAAAATTGTAATCTAAGAATTGATTACGTTTGCCGATGGCCTGGTTACATTGCAAAAGACTGCTACTACAGAAACAAGAGCATAAAGAGTGAAGTATCCACAGGTAAAAAGAAATACAGAAGTCCCAGCCTATGAGTGCGAACATTTCATCTCATTTTGATGAGACGGAAACTGATTTCACTCTTCAACTTTCATGTGGAAAAACTGATGAATGTGGCAAAATTTGGTTACTGGATAGTGGTGCAACTGGCCACATGGCACAAGACTTTTTTTGGTTTGAGAATATTATATCAAAGGTGAGGGAAATTTTCCATGCAAGAAAACATTTAAAAATATTTTCTGGAGGTATTGGTACTGTTAAAGCAACTATTTTAAGTAGAAAAAAATTCTAGTTTCATTAATTTAATTACTAGTAATGTTAGTTATGTTCCTGACTTAAGAAATAATTTACTGTCAGTCGCTGCCTTAATGGATAAAGGTTGTAAAAATGAATCAAATAATAGTTGTACATTGGATTTTAGTAGATGCAACCAATACTTTTTAAAGCATGTAAGAATAATGGCAGACTTGAAGTTAATTTAGAACCATATTATGATTCTAAATGTTGCATTGCTAATGATTGTGGTGGTAGCAATTATAAGCTTTGGAATACTAGATTATGTCATTTAAATCCAAAATATATGCTTAAAATGAATGCTTAAACATTTATATTAAACATTAATATTAACAATAAGCAATTTTAAGTGTGAAACTTGTGATATAAGTAAAATAACCAGAAAAGGTCATCCAAATATTGACGTTATTCAGAGTTCAAAAATTTTGGAATTAGTTCTTTCAGATTTCTGTGGTTCTGTTCAAACTGAATTTATTGATGGGTCTTATTTTATATGATCCCAGTGGATGATTTTCTGGAACATAATATGTAAAAACATATTTTCTTAAAAGTAAAAATAAAGTGTTTGATGTATTTTCTAAATTCAAATCTAAGTATAAAAATTTAACTGGTAAAAGAATTAAATGTTTGAGAACAGACAATGGTTTAGAATTTGTAAATGAACAATTAGATAATTATCTCGCTAATTCTGGTATTTAACAAAAACTGTTCCATATAATAATGATAGTAATGGTAAAGCTGAATTCTCAAACAGAGTTCTTTTGGAAAGTGGTAGAACATGAGAGTGAGCATCCGGTAAAATTCTCAGGAGAAGAAATTAATTTTAGTATTCATGTATCAAATTTAACACTCTGTAAAGGAAAAGAAACCACTCTTATAAAAATTTGAACTGGTAAAAAATCCAAATTAAACTATCTAAAAAAATTTGGATGTGGGCCACACTTTCTCATTCCAAAAGTAATGCGAAACAAATTCGATGTACCTGGGAGATGGGAGATAATGTTAGGAAATGCCAAAGAAAAGAAAGGATATTATATTTATGATACAGTAAATAATAAAGTAATAAAAAAAGATCGGTTGAATTTAATGAATCTTTAAAAGGCAGTAATTTAGGAAAACATAAAACCATAGAAACTTGGGATATTGAAGGATTAAAAAGAATTTCATGAAAGGAAAATGCAGTAGATTAAAAAAAAAGAAAAAAGAAAAAAAAAAAAAGAAAAAAAAAAAAGAAAGAAAGAAAGAAAGAAAGAAAAATCACACCTCGAATTTGTTAATACGAAAAATACTCAAACAAGCACTCGCTGAATTTCAAAACCACCAACCTAAATCATTGCAATGATGAGGGTGATAGGGAAATGAAATCCAAACACCTGCTGGCTATGAAATAAGTAATAGAAGTGTAGGTGAAATACCATTAAGATGATCCAAAAGGCTCAAATCAAAACAACTATCATCGAATGCAATCAGTAATGCTCCGAATAAGTTTTAGAAGGAAAAAATAGTGCTAACTGGTAGGAATAGAAGTCAGCAATGGAAAATGAATTAGACTCATTACATAAACTCGAAGTGTGGGAAACAGTAAAGGCTTGAAAAGTCAAAATTAATAAAAAGTAAATGGGTGTGCATTTTGAAGAAAGGAGACTCAGGAGAAATAAAACATAAAGCATGATTAGTAGCGTCTGGATTTCATCAAATAAAGAATAAGGATTACACCAAATCAAATTCAACAGTTGTTAATATCGAATGTTTTAGATTATTACTTACACTTTCAGATAAATTAAATCTGACTGTAAAATTTTATGATGTAAAAACTGCATACTTGTATAGCAACTTAAACGAAGATAATCTTAAGATGTAAATTAAGGAAAAGTATTCATGGGTTGCCTCAATCGGGTAGAAACTGGTATATGAAAATAAAAATTGAATTAGAAATACTTGGATTGGTACAACTAGCATCTGATAACTGTATATTCATTAATAATGAAAGTAAAGACTTTTTTTTGTATTATGTTTGTGCGTTGATGATTTAGCTGCATTTTGTAATAATAAAGAAATACTTGAAAATATTGTTTCTAAAACTCTAAAAATGTATTTGAGTTACATGAAAATATCAATTCAAAATTTTTGGAAATGCGAATAAAAAAACTTAAAAATGGTGCATATTTGTCTCAAACAGAATATATTGAAACCTTATTGATTAAACACAATCTAGATAATTGCAAAGCAGTAAAAATGCCAATAATTAAAGGGGCAGATAAAGTTTTTTTCACATTCAAATGAAAAGTTTGACGCAACTTTGTATCAGAAATTAATTTAGGAACTTTCATATATACTGAATAGACAGCATTCTGATATATCATACGTAACACCTCATTTGTTACAATTTAATCATGAACCAGAAGAAGGGGACTATTGTTTGGCTAAAATGTTATTAAGGTATTTAAAAGGTTTAAAATAAAAGCTTTTCTATAACAATGATTTTTGATTTTTAAATGCATAAGCGATGCCAGTTGGGGAAATGCAGAAAATGGTAAGTCATTTTACTAGGTAATTTATTGATTTCTTGGAAATGTCATAAGCAAAAAAACATCCATCTTTCTACTTGTGAAGGAGAACTGTTTTTTATATCTGAAACTCATATAGATATTATTTGGACTATAAATTTATTATTAGAGTTAAAATGTAAGCAATTTTTGAATGGTGCAGTGATTTTGAATACAGACAGTCAAGCTGCTATCCAGTGGATCAACTGTTCCAGATCATCATCAAAGTCCAGACATATGAACTTACATTTCCATTTTATGAAGGACTTAGTGATGGACAATGCCATTAAATCAGAATATTCACAAATTGATAATATGACTGCAGATTTTCTTACTAAAAGTGTCAGTGAAGAGAAATTAATGTGTACATAAAAAATCAGTTCTTTAATTTTTTAATGTGTTACATATTGTTGGTCTATATTTCATATTTATATTAAAAAATATTACTTGCAGGGAGTTGTGTTGGGTGAGCAAATGTTTTCCCTATGCATTTGCATACTGATTATAAGAAGCACAGCGGTCACTTCTGCCAACACACCCTTCATGCAAGCATGCTCAGTGTAGAGGCTGCTATGTGATCTATTTATCTGTTTTATGTCCAAATAAAGTGTATTGTCCCACAATTTATGGATCCTTTACTGTGTGCATGAACCTCTGAACAACACAAACTAAGTGTAAAAACCTCACTGGGAAACTTCTCTTACAGGGGAGAACAGTTATTTGAAAGTGGAATCATGAAATTGCCTGGAAGATAGCAAACGGTTATTAAACAAAACAGACAGTACAAAAAATTGAAGTTCTTTCTTTTTGTAAGAAAAAGTGTTTTGTATTTTAATATAGAAAATGAGAGTTATTTCTGAACAGCTTACTACATATACCACACCATGAAGCTTAGACGAAGTGATCCATTAGTCCACCATGTTAAATTATAATTTCTTGACATTAAGAAGATAAAAATCCAGAAATAATGAGATAAATAAATTTTAAAAAGTACAGCAAAATAGAAAAACTATGCATTGACATATATATATATACACATATATATATATATATATGCAAATAAATAAAGGGAAATAATTACTTTTAATGCTACTGTCCCTGCATATTGACGACTAATTATATCACCATTGTTCGCCCAAAGCATCTGGAAAATTCTGCGGCAACCAGCTGGTAAGACGCCTTCAGGGGGAAGTAGGCCTAGTTTATTAAACTGCAATTATAGGCAATAAGAAAAGATAGTTTAGTATTCGTAAAATTAAAATACCTGGCAGTAAATTTAGCTACTGTTTTAACCCTCTTCCCTCCCCCCAAAAAAATATGCCAAAAAAATAATAATAAAATAATGAGACACTGAAGAGCAACCATATTAGGGAAACTCGTCCAGTAGCGCGTGGCACCACCTTTCGCCTTGATGACAGCTGAACTTCACAAGACAAGACACTGGAAGTGATAACTGGAAGTGATAAGAAGCCATGCATATCCAAGACCAGGGCTATGGAGTCGGAGTCAAGTAGATTGAGAGGAGATGGGTAAAAGGAGTCACAGTTGGAATCGCTAAAAAAACACTTCGACTCCGACTCCAATTTTTGTTGGACAGTTTGAATTTGAAACGAAATTAAAGTGAATTGAAAAACAAATAATGACAAACTGAGTTAATATTTTTATTTACGAACTATATACATTGATAAATAGTTATTTTGTATTTTATTGACATATTAGTAAATAAATATAAGGGAGTAGGATGGATGTGATATTTGCCATTATTGATTAAACTGATTCATTAAGTTACTAATTTTATTGGTGAATTGAGGTAAGCAGCAAGAACTCCCAAAATTGATGCCATTCTTAGGAAGCGAGCAGGAAAAGGAGCAACGCAATGGAGAAGTACATAATTGATGATATAGTGGTTGTTAGGATTAAGAACTTTTTCGGAAGATGTAAATAACCCTAATATTTCACTAACAGAAAGACTGTGGAATGATCTTGCAGGACTGGAAATCCTTCTTTCAACACCATATATAGCCACAAAAAAGCTACATTCTGAAGAATTCACAAGAGGCAAGACTTGAAGAATGCAATGTTTGTTCTTTCTGAATTGGAGGATTTATTGCAGAAGGAATCATTTCTCAATGAAGAAAAAAGAAACATCAAGCTGGGTTCAATATATGTAGATCCAAAACGTCGAATTTTCTTGGATGACAACCAAATTAAAAAGGCAAAGAAAGCCATTTTTGAACTTTTATTAAGAATGAAATTATTCTCAGAACAACTGAAGTATTCAAATCAGGACAGTCAAACTGCAGATATTGCAATTGAGTTTCTATCATCTTCTTGCACTGATGAATTAGATTTTGAGAAATATTTGGATAATATTGAAAAGGCTAAGGCAAAGCGAATGAAAATAAAGAACCAAGAGCCTTTAGATATAAAAATGAAAAAATACAAACAAGATTTATACACGGCCTTTTAAGAAATGGATAAATATGATTGCTCTTGCAAGACACCTCTTTTAGAACTTACAAAAATCTATCCTGAAAAGTTAAAGGAAGTAGCCGTAACAATAACAGCTCTTCTTCCTACTCAAGTCAGTGTGGAAAGACTCTTCTCAATTCTGAAGTTTATTAAATCGGATCTATGGTCCTTTAACAAAGAAGATCTTGCCAAAGTTTTACTGTTTCTTAGAAATTACCAATGCCAGTTTTTCCATTTTATAATAAATGCTAATTAATATAAAAATTTACTATGCATCAATTTTTATCTGTAGCATCTATTACTTCTTTTATATTAAAAAAAATAAGCTGTACCCATATTTATATGTTTACATATATATGAAGGAGTGGGAGTCATTAAAATTCCAGGAGTCAGTGTCGGTCATTTTTCCTACCGACTCCACAGCCCTGTCCAAGACTCCTGAATAACCTCCCACAATTCACAAAGAATACATGAAAAGTAGTCGGAGCCTTAAACCCCTCTCTCGATTGCATCCTAGATGTGCTCGACAGGATTCAGTTCAGGTGACCTTGATGGCCAGGAAAATAAGTGCAGGTCTGTGGAATGTTGATCTAACCATTCTAATACAATTCAGGAGCAACAACGCAGAGCATTGTCTTGTTGAAAGATAATCTCTGAGTTGGGCTGTCAAAAATGAACATATATGGTCATCAAGGATATATGGTCATCAAGGATATTCTGGTAATTTTCACCCATGAGAGATGATGTCACATATGCCAGGAGTCCCATTTCAGTCCATGTGAATAGTCCCCAGACAAGAATACCACTAGCTTGAAGAGTTCCCTATTAGCAGAAAGGATACATCGCTTCATGTGTTTTATGAAGTACATGTATTCTGTCATCAGCTGTGTACCAAAGTGAATCTCAACCCATCACTCCAAGCACAATTTTTACACATCTTGAAGATCCACTGACGATGTTCCAAGCTCATGCTAACTACAGTGCCATGTTTTGTGCAGTCAGCAGAAGGACACTAGTAGGATGATTCCTATACCCCATTGAGGGGAGATGGTTTTGTATGGTGTGGCAGGTTACATGTTGCTGTGTACCAGCATTAAACTGACAGATGATCTGTTGTTGCACTGTGGGCTAGCCACCACAGACCTTAGCTGTTGTCCGCAGCAGTTGACGCTGATCGTTTTACCAGAATTGACATTCTCACGGTACACCCGACACGGTGATATGTGAAAATCCAACCCAGGCAGCATGCATTCGTAAATTGCACGAGAAAAATACGTGCAATTTACAAATGGCCTTTCGTATAAAAAACGTTCAAGTTGAACGTAAAAATATCATAAAAAGTGTCCAGTGGCAATTACTAAATATTTACGTATATTTTTACGTTATACTATACGTAACTTTTACGTAAAATTTAGGTATATTTACGCGAGAGACTACTGTTCATTCGCAACTTTTACGTATAATATACGTAAATTTCAGGGATTTACGTATATTTTTAGTAAAAATTTACGTATATTTATCGCATATACGTAAATCTCAATTTTTTTCCTCACGTATGCGTATATATTTAGTAAAAATTTACGTAAATTTCCCCCGATTTTTTACTGTATATAAACGTAATATTAGGTAAAAATTAAGGTAGATTTCCCCGTATTTTTACGGTACAAAAACGTATATATTTGATAGAAATTAACGTATATATTTCCCGTATTTTACGGTACAAAAATATATATTTGATAGTAATTGACCTAAATCTTCCTATGTTTTCTTTGCATATGCAATGACTGGTAAAATTTAATCCAATGTATTCTCCACTTTACTGTGTATAAATGCACATTTTTGGTAAAAAATTTGCATAAATCTCCAATTACCTTTTCACTGCAATTTTCATAAAATGCACTTATTTTAATCTCATATTTTTTTATATAAATCTATGCAAAAATTTTCTGTATGCTATGATTAAAAGGTAAAATAATTTTTATATCAAATTCTTACATATCTGCCTTTTAGTTATGGTACAGCATATGGAATATATATAAAGGAAAATTAAATGCACTAGTAAATGAAAAAAAAAAAAAAAATTCTATTAAAAAATTACGTAACACTTAAAGGCTGAAAATGACTTTTAATATTTCATTTCAAAGTGACTAGAAAATATGCAATAAATTTCGTAAACATCAATTCTGTATTTTAAATCAATTAATGCTATCGTTCATTTGCATTTTTGTTTACTAAATTCATTTCAAAAACTTAAATTTAGTAAAAAACAGTAGCAAACAGTTGTTTACTAAATTCATTATTACTAAATAACACTTTAAATAAATTATTTTCTTTTCCGAAGGACATTTTCTTATGCCATGTAAATGAACGATAGCATTAATTGATTTAAAACATAGAACTCAGGTTTACAAAATTGTAATGTATTTTTGTAGTCACTTTGAAATGAAATATTAAAAGTTATTTTCAGCCTTTAGTGTTATGTAATTTGATAGAAATTAATTTTTTGCATTTAAATTTTCCAGTTATATATATTCCATATTGCTGTACATACCTAAAAGGTGGATATGTAAAAATTTGATATTAATTAATTTTATCTTTAATCATAATATGCAGAACATTTTTTTCATAGATTTATAAAAAATAAGAGATTAAAATAAGCACATTTTACGAAAATGCAGTAAATAGGTAATTGAGATTTATGCAAATTTTTACCAAAAATGTGCACTTATACACAGTAAAGAGGAGAAGACATCGGACTAAATTTTTTAAAAGTCATTCATATATGCAAAGAAACATAGGGAAGCTTTAGGTCAATTATTATCAAATATATAAGTTTTTGTACCGTAAATACGGGAATATCTACGTTAATTTCTCTCTAAAGTACAATATAGTTAATTAAAAAATTCAGTAAACAAATGTTATAACAAAAGAAACATCATACGTTTAGATTATTTGAATGAGTGTGCTAAATTTTAAAATTGTTAAATATAGACCAGGAATTGTAGAAAACTTACCTTTTCAATAGTTTTACAAGTTGACTTTGTTATTTTCTTGAAGATGAATGTTTTTAATGTCACAAATTTCATTCATATCTTCAGATAATACACAAATATATACATATTTATTTATTAAATTCAGTTTATCCCAAACATGTTAAAGAAAATATTAATTTGCATGCAAGTTAATCGAGTAAACTTCTGTTTAATTACACACATAATTATGATATGTAAAAATTTTACATTTATGAGTCAATCTTGCAATGTATTGTAATCTATATTGTGTCTTTCTCAGTTTAAAATCTTATAAATATATTAGATCAGTACTAAAAGTTCACCTCTACAAAGAAATGCTTTATTGAGGTATTTTAAAAAGTTCCCTTTTACAAAAAACTGTTTATTTCATAAATAAAGTACATAAAAATTATGCAAATTCAAAATACCTAAATATGTTCTTTATTTTATCTTATATACCAGATAAAATTTTAAAAGTTAATTTGTTTAGGAATACAGTCAAAAGTCGTTAATCCGGACTCGTCGGGACTTTGGCAATTCCGGATTATCGATTTTTTGGATTATAGATCATCAGTTTAAATCTGTAGATGGCATGCAGAAATTACCAAAATTAAACATATGAAACCGTATTTTAAATAAATAACAGTTATGATCTAAAGGGTATCAAATTTACAAAAGAAAAAGCTTAATATTTATTTGTTTACTTTATTAAACATTTCTTCAATGT